CACAACTTAGAATTTGAGATCCTATAAGGTAACTAAAAACTTTGATAATAATATAATTACTAAATTCTTTTTATATTTTGATTAACAAATTCTATTATTACAGCTAAGTTACTAGTTATTGCTTGAGTGATCCTTATACTGATAATTTATTTTATGTATTCAATATCATAGAATCAAAAGATCATATAATTCAGAATATCTTTAACATATTTAAGAAAATGCAAGATAAAATTCATTAATTTGTAAAAAAGAAGTTCATATAATAATTTAGAAAATTAAGAATAAAAATTTAATTAAATATTTGTAATATAGTATATTAATTTATATATATTTAATCATAAATTAGTAATGTCTCTTTAAGTACATGCTCTATAAATGTGTGCTTTATATAATTTTCTAAATATACGATTAGCTTAGTTTAATTTATAAAAGTGCTATAGATTTGTTTTCTATAACCACAAGCGTATATTTGCTTTTTTGATACATTTAAATAGGTTTTACAATAAGATATATAAATTTCTTGTGATTTTATTGATTGAACTAAACTGATTTATGAGATATTACATGAACTAATATATGCAATTTTATTGGCTAATTTGAATTGATGTGTGCAAAGTTACACAAACTAATATATGAAAAAAATTGCTGTTAGTTTTATTATATTAATACAAACTAATATTATATACTATCATTGACAAAATGCTTGTACTCATACTTTTATACTTACATTAATTATATTTTATATACTATTACAAAAAAAATAACTTAATATAAACTCAAAAATGCTTTCATACCTCTAGCTTGTCTGTATAATACTAATTTTTTGTTATCTTCTAAATACTTGTAAAATCAACTATGTTCATCTATAATATTTAATACTTTCAAATTTTCTCTTTTGCTAAAATATTACATCAATCCAATGAAGCTTCTGTTATTTCTTCTTTAGATGTTGTCTTTGATTCTTATACTTATAGAAATGAAATAAATCAAAATCTATCAAATGCATTTATGTCTAATAATTTATTTTATTATTTTTACTCCTAAAGAGTCTACTGATCATTTGTATTGACACTTAACTCCTGCTTTTAAATAACTTGTACTTCAGTTTTAAACCAAAATTTTACTAGATTACTCTAATATTCCTTGTACTTACTGCTCAATATTTATAATGATGTCTTCGACTTAATAGGTACCTTATAATAAAGACACAACATATCTTTTAACTTATGCCTTTACAATTTCTATACATATTTGAGTAAACAATAGGAATGTTGTTCAAGTTATCATTTGTAATAGATGCAAAAATGAGAAAACTTGATGATATCTACCAATACTATCTCAAATCCCTTTTCAACTTCAAGATGTCCTTATGTTTTATAAAAAATACCTTTTATTTATTTTCATAAATTGCACTTTGGACAAAGCTGCAAGTACAAACTGCTACATTAACTATTACAACCTTATTGAAATTATCAGTCTATCTTATAATTATAAAACTCTTTAGTTATATTTAGAATTAATTGGAGCTTATTTAAATGTACATGAACCATTTAACTAATTTCACAATTCATTAATTTCTGCATCTGAATGGCTCAAACAAGAAAACCATCTTATTAGACAATATGCATCAAATATCACTATTATCAGACCTTTACTAACAGCTTCTATTCTTATTCTTTTACCTCTTACTAAACAATCAGTCATTGTTAATACATCTTCTAACTCTATGTATCATAGCATTATATCTGATAATATGCCCAGACTATCTGATTTAATCATTTCTAATATTCTTTTTCTACAAGAAATCTATAATAAAGATGCTTATTATTTAAGACTATTAGCTAAGTTTTTTAATTATAACATTAATCTTAACATACCAATCATGCTTAATAATTCAAATTTAGAAATCTTAATATTTTCTAACTTATTCTTCAATAGTTAAGAACATTATAAAAACATAAAACAACTTCCAAATTTTTAATCTTTTATTAATTTCTATAAAAAATACATAAAGCTCTAACTTTTTTGTTCTAATTCTAGGTTTTACTTTCATTGATATTGACCTTATTGGTCATATTTAAATCTAGAAAAAAAAAGAAATTTTCAAAACCAAAATCATATATTAGCTACTAGAAATGTTAACCATATTTCTTATCCAACAATGGCTAATCTAATTGCTAGAAGTTTATATTAAAATAATAACATATTATATGAAACTATAACAACTACAATCTCAACATTTTTTAGAACTGCAGCATCTTTTTTTTAACAAAAACAATACCAGATAAACATAATAATAAGTTTATATAGATTATCTTAGATCTTTTATATTATAACTATGGCTAAGAATAAATAGTTGCATCTTTATGAAATATTAAATTCTTTTAATAACAAGAACATATTATCCACCAACTATTTATTATATACTTACTTATTTTATCATAACTATCTTACCAACATCTGTAACAAACTTTGGAAAAACTCATTCTTATCTAGATAGAGTTAATAAGAACACTTTTTTGAATATAACAAATTTCAAAATTGTAAAACTATACATACTCATAGTTTTGCATATACTGAAATTAAAACTTTCAAATTAATCTTTCTTAATATAATTTGTGCTAATATCTCTGATATCATCACTGAACCTAAGCTGTATAACTTAGTAATATTATTTTTAATATATTATTGTAACTAATAGTGTAGTGGTCAAAATCTTAATGAACAACTATGTTTCAAAGATTTTTTACAACCTTTATCTGAAAGAATATATTGTTTTTTAATTTTATTATATTATATATACCATCGTACAAAAGAAGAGAACAGAATAGTAATACTATATAATTTTGAAACTTTGTTAATATGATGAGACCATATTAACTTTCAATATGTCACCTCTACTAGCTTTGCTAAATATATAACTAAATATGTTACCAAATTCAATCTATCTAAGTTATTTGATATTGATGAAACTGACAGTTATAAAAAATATATAATGGCTTATAGATTAGATATCATAGAACTAATTATATTTCTCTTATAGTACCTTTTAATAAGATGCTTAGTTTTAGTATATTACCTTTCTTCTGCTTCTTTTGAATTTAGAATTAGATCCATTAAACCAGTTCATTTGTTACAATATAAAAATAATAACAATGATAACAAACAAGATAACAAAATTTTATATTGGGATAATGCTATAAATAAATACTTTGATCACTCTATTTATATATACTTTCTTGAAATAACATACTCAATTACTTTCAAAACTATACTTTTTAATCTAAACCATTCAGCCAAACTTTTAAATTATTTTATACTAAAAATAAAAAAAATAAAATAATTGTAGAAAGAAGAACTCTTATACTATTAAGGTTTGCCAACTACAAAATAAAAGACAGTAAACTATTTTTCTTTCAACATCTTTTTATAAAGTTCTTTGCATAGTCTGAATATAAACTATTAGAAGAACATTATACTTACAAAGATCATTTCTATTCTGTTTTTTTTGTAAGATATATGCAAGCAATTGATTCGATTATATTTTATAAAGAAATACTTTATCAAATATATATAACTTTTTAATAAGATTATTATTAAGTAAATTTCAGAATTAAGAACTATCTACTTTACTATTTAACTAATTCATTTTATTAAAAAACATATATCCTATTCTGATATTTATTCTTTTTAAATCTAGATACTAACCAATTTGAAAATTATAACATATTATATAATATTTGAAGAAAAACAATTAATGCTAAATATCTTTATTTTTTTTTAACCAGTTCTGCAAGAATTGGTAAAACTTTCATATTATACCAACTAATTCTATATTTCTTATCCAAATATAAAACATACTTTTTAATGATGTTTACAAGTGTTGTAGCTCAGAATATAAATGGCAAAACAATCTATTCTTTATTAAAAATATAGTTTAAAAACAGCTACTATGAAACTCTAATTTATATAGATCCTAAAAGTGAATCAAGATTAAAAAAAATTAAAATGCTTATATTCAATGAAGTATTAATAATTGATGCTAAACTATTTACTTTTATTAGTAATATATTTGTTAAAATTTACAACAATAATTTCATTTTCAGAAGTATACCAATGCTAGTCATCAGTAATCTAGCTCAATTACCTTCTGTATATCTTCTTTCAGTTTTTCATTTTCCTGCTTGGCAAAAATTTTTTTCTCTATTCCTTACTACTTTACAAAGACAATAAAACAATCTAGAATTCTATAATATTCTACAATAAATATACATTAAAATATTATCAAACCTAAGTAAATCTATTATAGAATTTAAAATAAATCCTTACATCTTTTCTACTGAATTTTTTGACACAACTTATATAATCTTAACTTATTAAGCTGCAGATAATATAAACCAATTACTATATTCCAATTTATTATTAGATCATATCTATAATGATCCTATTCTTTTTACTTTAAAAGATATCCTAAATACTGAAGTCTTAGATATTAATCACTTAATTTCTTAGTTTAAACATATAATGAACTTATCACAATCATTACACTTACAAGAAAAAGCTCGAGTTATGTTTTTAAATAACAAACTGTTCAAAAATAAAATCTGTAATAGTACTATTAGACTTATATCTAAGCTAATAGATCATAACAATGTCAAAGTACCTTTTCCACTTATGAAGATATACAGATGAAGAATTATTGACTAATAAATGTCATGGATCACTCTATTTGACCTCCTAAAAAAATTCTACCTCTAAACACTAAAAAAATGCTTAAACAATACACCCCAAAAATTTGTATTTTTCGGTGGCTTATCTATTTAACATTATCACTCATTTCATTTTAATCTGATTCCATTTTAATCCGTCACAATAAATAAGGCGACTTTACTCAATAAGTATGATTTGGACGAGATTTTAAAGATGCGATAAATATAAAGATGCGCAAATAGGTTTCTCTTTTTCGAGTTAATAACAATCCGAATTCAGAGATACCTTTATTAATTCAATTCTGCTTTTTCTTTTATAATATTAACAACAGTTTTCATCTCTTTTGTCTCATCTACTTTACATTGAGAGAATAATAAAAATCATAACAGTAGGCAACGGGAAGTATCATTTAATTTTCTTTTTTTTCTGTTTCATTCGTTTAATAACACACTACTTTGTTTTTTTCTTGTGAATTCGGAGCAAATTCGCTTTTAGATCTTCACGCATTTCATCATAAGATTACATTAATTTTAGTAATATTTATTACATTCCGAATAGACTTTTTAGATTAATGGATCTCTAAGAAAGTAACCGACGGGTTTTTACTGATCGGTGTGGGAAATCATGCGTTTTAACTCAAAGTTTCGTCTATGTAATTGCCTCTTGTGTACTAGCAAAAAAATTTCTTGCAAAACTTTGATTTAAAATATGCTTCTTTATCATTATAAACCTAATGTTATTACCTTAAAAAATTCGCATATCCGTTATTTTGATGAAATTTGACAGTGCTTCAACATTTATTAAAATATAGGCTATGCATAATACAGTATACTTGCTTTTTTTTTTAGCTAGAAATAGCAGATAATTAAATTTTTAGCTCCAAAGGTCTAATAATACATGTTTTTCTGATATAGTTACTATATAATAAATTAAAAACTATTTGTTAATGTTATCCATTAGTTCCAAAAAATTTAACACCCATATCCTCAGTGCTTGTTCCTTGAAATAGCTGTGCCAAACCTCGTTTGACTAGTATGTCCAATGATTTTGACAAAATTGTTTGATCCAATCCATGAAACTCTTTTATTCAAAAATTAGATTAGAAATGAATCAAGAAAATACAATCGTGATTAGTAAAATATATACCTAATCCTTCAGTGATATCACCATGTGCTATTTCATATACTGTTAGTATAGAATTAGTCATACCACTATTAAATACCTGTATTCAAGAACAATAAATTATATTCAAATAAAAATTCGATATTTATGAAATAAATAAATAAAAAAAAAAAAAGAAACAAACCCAATTATTAATTAATGTTGCCCATTCTTCAGGTTTCCTCCAATAAATAAGGGCTACATTCTTTTTAGATTGTGAGTCCCACTCTGCCGTTCCTACATCAAAAAACCTTATAAATCATTTAAAAATATGATGATGAAAAAGAACGTCATGATATATTGACATATAAACCTTCTTTGACCATTGTATCAATAATGCATTGTAAGGTTCCAAGTTTTAATCTTCCTGAAATAGGAGTAGTGGAATGAATATAAAAGTAATGAATGTTATCAGTAAATAGAATTAATAACATTACTTTGGATTCCTTTATTATCAAATAATTCACTATTTAACGATTCTGATAACTCAAGCCGAAATAATTTATGATGCATAAAATATGCTAGAATTATTTCAGACCAAAGTGTTATTTGTGTTTGCCGAGTTGCTGGTTGTGTTTGAAGCCTATAATGAGAGGCAAATGAAGATTAATTATAATATGCATTATAGAGTAGAGTGTAATTCATCGTTTCATTTGTTAAGATAAATCTTATGGCTTACGTATAAAATGGCGGAAAGTTATGTATTGAGGGGAAACTAAATAAATCTGTCATGATAGCAAAACAAAATCTTGTAATAAACTCGATAACGATAACGATAAAAGCCATTTATATAAAAAACTGCAGTTACACGAATTTATTCATTTAGCATACGTAGTGATAGTACATTTATTCATCATATGTAATACGTAAATATATATAAATGTTGATATATGTCGATGTATGTATGTTTTTATATTATATAATTAAATCTCGAGCACTTGTCTATTCATTATGCGGTCCGCCCATACTACCAGCTTCAGGGAAATATACATTTTTAAAAGTAGTATTACACTTTTTACAAACAGTTCTTTTTTTTGAATAGCCAAATAGTCTCGGTAAGCCTAAACAAAAGGCCCAAAATAAACTCCCCCAAGTACTTTAGTATTTTTTTAAAAAGGAAATAAATACATACAATACAATATATATTATATATTTTAGTGTTCAATTTTATGATTTTATCAATTCACTAAACTCAAGTCACTATTTCATTTTATTTATATAAATACTTACTAATGAGACCTTAGTTCATGCGAACCACCTTTTGGACAGGGTCCTAATTGTTGTGCTAGACGTTGTTGTTCAACTAATGCTGGATCTTTTACCAAACAAATATATGAAAAAAATATTTTTCTTTAAACTAAGGGACACTTTGTGCAACTCTTTTCTTACCTTCGTAAGGTTTATATTCTCGTAAATCACTACCAGGGTATGAAGACATTCTGAGAAAGTTTTTAGTTAAATATATTGTCACCTCATTTCATTTCAAAATTTGTTTGTCATATAGTGTGATTTAATTAGTTCGTGTAACAAAGATTTGCCGACTTTATATATTGTGTAAAACCTATATACTTTCCCGCCAAATATTCGCCATGTACTTTTATCACCTAAAGTTTGAACTCTATATTCCGGCAGGGAATAATTCACATAATTGTCAAAATAAATTCATTATTAACGAAAATTCTCTTGATTTATTCTACGTTCCAAAGGATATTTTTGCACCTTTACCTGTGCATTCTCAACTAAACAACGAACCGCAGTCGGTCTTGCAATTGAATAATTCTAAAGCTAAAGGACAAATCAGATCTAAATCTAGATCTTTAGATCTTTCAAAGCCTTCTTCAAGCCAAGTGCCTTCAATTCCACCAACTCCGATCTCTAAATATAATAGTTCTTCTGGTAAATCAGATCCTCCTTCAGGTTGGACAATTGTTGGAAGGCGAAAATCAATTGCGTCTACTTCTGCGGTACCTTCAACTATAATAACATCTAAACCAAATTTTGATAAAACTCACGATTTTCGATTTGGTAAGATTGAAGTCGAGTGGTTTGATAATTTTGAAATAATTGAAGCTGAAAATATGGGTGAAAATATGAACGAAAACCAGAAAAGCAAATCGAGTAGTGATAAAGCAGTAATACCAGCAGGTGAATTTATTCCGCTTAAGTCTGGTAAAACAAACTTTAGTTATGGTGTGCTACATTTATATCGCGATCCGAGTGAAATACTTTCATCGAAAGATGACCAAGGTTTTATTCGGGTTGGAAAGAATGATAAAAATAACTCTGGTAAACAGAATAGCTCTGGATCAAATCAAAATTCTGTTGAAAAACAAGAAGAGTTTCCTGGAATATTGAATAATGAAGAGACTATATTGGCCGTATTGGCCGTGCCTTCTTTTATGAGTGCTTCAGATTTTTTGGCATTTGTTGCACCAGTACAAAGATTTGTAAGTCATTTTAGATTTATCAGGTATGTTACAAGCATTCTTCATATGTGATGTATTTATTCAATATCTTAGATTATTTTAATTATTATGGTCAGAGATTCGGCACCCAACAAGTTTATGGTCTTGATGAAGTTTAGACATGCACGAGCAGCATGGGATTTTTATAGACAATTTAATGGTCGTCCTTTTAGCTCTATGGAGGTTCATATTTTTTTTTTACTCTTAGATATTTATTTATTTATATTTCTCAAACGTTTTATATTTTATTCAGCCTGAGATATGCCATGTGGTCTACATCAAATCTATCGAATTCAAATCTACTTCTATTCCTCCTGACGCATTCCCTTTTTTGCATGATCCTTTTATACCCTCTACGCAAAATGACACAACGAAATCTAATGACCAAACTCAACAATCCTCCGTTTTATATGAACTTCCAACATGTCCTGTATGCCTTGAAAGAATGGATGCATCCGTAACAGGGTTGCTTACAATTCTGTGTCAACATACGTTTCATTGCGATTGCTTAAGTAAATGGGGTGATAGTAGGTATGTGTTAATATTTTTATTTAAATAATAAAATTGTTATTTTCTAGTAACTCAATAATGTTATAATATGTTTGTAGTTGTCCTATATGTCGTTATAGTCAGAAAAGTAATGTTCTCGATCCATCACTAGGACAAAATGAATGCGGAATTTGTGGTGTCACTGAGAGTTTGTGGATATGCCTTATATGTGGCAATATTGGTTGTGGCCGATATCAAGAAGCACATGCATATTGCCATTATAAAGAAACTTCACATTTATACGCTTTAGAATTAGAGACTCAAAGAGTTTGGGATTATGCTGGTGACGGGTAAATTAAACCATTTCATTGTTATGCGATATCAAGTGGTATAAATATTAAATTTTCATTATTTTATTCGTAACAGATACGTTCATCGTCTAATACAAAACAAATCGGATGGTAAACTAGTAGAGTTACCTAGTCCCGATGGTCCGCCTCAAATGCAACAACCACGTGCGGAAGTTGACCAAGTGAGTGTGATTATAATTAATGCCTATTATATGAATTATGACTCATGTAAATTTCAATTAGGACAAACTTGATGCAATTGGACTTGAGTACAGTTACCTTTTATCAACCCAGCTTTCTTCTCAACGAGTTTACTATGAAGAAAAACTTGAGTCTGTCACACTTCAATTATCAAAGCTAACAAGTCAAGTTCAAAAGTTTGAGGATGAAATTTCAATTTTGAATCAAGATAAAGGTAAATATAAAAAAGAAAATGAATTACTTGAAAAAGAAAAGATACCATCTTTGATAAAAGAGAAGAAAGCCATTGAGAAGAAAATGGAAAAATTTACTGAAAAGTCAAATAAACTCGAAAAAGAATTGAATGGTGAGAGAGAGGTAATATATTCATTGTTTATGCATACTATGTTAGCTTTACTTGTGTTGAGAAAAATGTTTACTAACCATCATCGCATTTATATGTATTAGTTAACAAAATCTTTATTAATGAAACAAGAATATTTGCAATCTCAATTGGAAAACAAAGATGCAAAAATTAAAGACCTCGAAGAACAAGTGCGAGATTTGATGTTTTTCTTCTCGTCACAAGAAAAATTAAAAGAAAACCCTGAGTTAGCGGGTGGCAACATTGTTGTTTCAGAAAATAGTGGTAACAGTGGTGGAAATGCGAGAAAGAAAAAAGGAAAAAGGTGAATTTTTTATTTTATTATTAAATAATCTGTATTATAGTACATTGATTATAGCCATTAAGCTAGTGTAAGGAACCAATTTCGCATTATGAGCATAATAAATGTAAAATTGTTTTTTATAAAAAAAGCTTTGTATCAACTAGATACAAAATGAAAATCGAATGTAATATAATTAACAACTTTTTCAAAAAAAAAAAAAGAAGCAGTCTATCAGCTCAGCAAACTGTATCAGGTCTACATACATTAGAATAAATTTTTTAAGCAATGATCTCTCTAGAAAACTTTATTGCTTTTTCGCTTTTTTAATTGCTGCTTTATCTGTTTGAGGTTGTTGTGATTCAGCAAGATTACCAAAAAGACCAGTAGTCTTGAATGGTCTTTTCAAATCACCTTCTGCTGGTTTACCAAGTAAATGAATCTGGACGATCGGATTCTCATACGTAGTCTTGAGTGGTAAAATGGACTGAATGAATAAAGGTTGTGTAAATTCAAACCAAAGGTGTAAAATCATCATAAAAATAATTCCAATAATGGTTTGCTTAAGAAGTTCTTGAAGTTTCCCAAGATCATAATCACGATTATTCGTTTCCACATGTTTTGGAGGTTCATCTGTTAGACGTTTCGCTGGCTCGACGTATTCAAGAGGAGTAGTATCTATGCATTAAATATGGAAGGCAATTAAGAAAATTAATGGTTTATAAAATCTAAAATAAAAATGAACGGAGAAGTCAACTATACCATTTTTTTGCTTTATTTTTGTTGCAAGATAATAGAATATCGAAAGAATTAAAGTTTGGACTCCTATATATCCAGCACGAACATATATAATGGACTCCGGATTTTCAAGATCTAATTTGCGAGCAACTTGGACGACAAATAGGATGAGCACTACGTTCAGCACCTAAAAACGAATTAGCGAATTTAAATCTTGCCGGAGAAATAAGTACAGAATGCTGGATAATACCTGAGAGTTCATGTTCGCTTTTACTAGAAATAATTAAGAAAAATTTGTTACGTATAAAAGTCTCGTATGTCCCATTAACGTATAATGTATCGCATTATATGTTGCCTAAAGTCTATATTTGTCTATCCCGTGATTTGTGTCAATTTTGGAATCTTCCCCAGTATCGCCGTCAAAATTTTCACTTTCACGTGACAGCGTTTAAAAATCTTTAAATTCGTTTAAGTTAGGGTTAGCGTTTATA